GTTCCCGCCTCCCGGTACGCGGGCGCGCGGCGGGGATTTTCCGTTTCCGACTTGATCGTGGTTCTTCCAGCTCATACTTACTTTGTGGAATTTTTTAAAAATCACCGTGTTTGGCCCGTCGTGTGGCCAGTCAGTGATCTGATGCGACGCTCCGGAGGCTTTTCCTGTCGCACACACGCACCCGCGTGCGCGCACACGCATGCACACCTCCAGCAACCGGTCGCTTAGGACCGTGCGGGGCGCGTGGAACTTCCGAGCTGGAGGCGTCTGTAACCTGTTCCCTTTTGCGGCGGAGGAAACAGGTGCCGGGAGCTGTGGCGACCTCAGAGCTGACGAAGCGCAGAGCTGCGTTTATTTTTGTATTTCACCTTATTAAAGATTGTTGTATGCAAATTTGGATCTTGAAGAGAATTACCCTCTCCTTTCCCTAGGGAAAGGGGACAGGGGCACAGTGGTTAGTGCCACTGAATGGCTTTCCATCCCCCGACCTAAAGCGGAGGGCCCACCGCTGTGACGCCGTGGCGGGCAGCTCGTCCAGCCTTGGCGTCGCCGTTAACCGCATGCGGGTGACGCGTGCTACGGTGTGGGAAGCTCGCATCAGTGCCACCGCAGACCTGGAGGGAAGTCCCACGGGACAGAACCACGACGTGGAGAGGTGACACGGCTGCCCGGCGACAGGGCCAGGGTGCTCATCCTCGATGTTGTTCCGGGACCCTGTGGGGTGCCGTGCCGCTCCCGTGGAGTCAGGGGTGTCTTATTCGAGAAAATGAGAAAATCTTCAAAATGGGATAAATGAGGTTACCGTCCCTGTGCAGTCGGTGAAACAGTAAAAAAAAAAAAAAATCAGTAATTGACAAAAATGATGTATTAATATCAGATATGCATCGAGAAGAGCGAGGGCTGTCATGATTTGAAAGTGTTTCTCTTAAATTCAGTCATCCCACTTTTGAATCCTCTTTCCTGTTCATGTCCTGTTTCAGCTGAATGTGGAGCGCGTGTCGAAGGAAGCGAAGGGACATTACTATCGCCGAACTTCCCATCGAATTACGACAATAACCACGAGTGTATCTACAAGATACAAACGGAGCCCGGCCAGGGGGTCCAGCTACGCGCGCGGAGCTTCCAGCTGTGCGAAGGGGACACGCTAAAGGTGAGAGCTGCTCTTTAACGGGACCCTGTCTGTACCCCCCCAGGGCGCGGTGTCCGTCCGTCCGCAGCGCCGGATACGGACACGCACGTGTCGACGTGTCATCGTAGACGCACGTGTTTTCCCGTTTCTCCGCCTGGTTTGAGAAGACGGGGCATGGTGTCCCTGGTGGCCGCATGCGGACTTTGAAATACCTCCGTCCTGGATCTGGCTTTATTAGTCGTGTATCGTAGGTGGATTATCTAACATTTTTAAACCTCAGCTTCCGAATGCGTGAGGACATGCAATGACACCCACTTTGGGGGGCTGTTTTGAGGATTAAATGATACAGTACGGGCGACTGTGCCCAGGATCGTTCCTGGCGCATGTATTAACCACTGGACCTTGCAGGGCCCCGAACCGATCTCTCCCACAGTCCTTCTCGGGTTTCACCTGTGGTCAGGACGTTCAGAGCCACGAGGTTTTCGATGTGTCCATGGCGGCTGTTGCAGCCTCTGTCACTGGCATACACGGCAGGGCTCACGTGGACAAGCCAGGCCAGGACGGAGCAGAACCTCAGGGGACGCAGGGACGTGCTGACGTGCGTCCAGCAGCGAGGCCTCCGCACCTTAGATACTCCACGTGTCAAGGCCGAGGGAAAGGCCCTGCGTAGAACCTTCTGGATGGACTCCCCGGAGAACACGCGGGGGACGAGGCCAGGGCCACCCAGAGCTTGCCCCGTTCCGTAAAATTCTGCGTTTTTTTAATTCTCTTTGAACCTTCACGGATTCTCAGGATGGCACGTCTCAGATTCAGTACATGCGCTCACGTTCAGCCGTGAGCAATAAGAAAATATGCAGAAATCCAGCCGAAGGGAAGATGTTGGCCTCCCCTCAGCGGAGAAAGCGGGGTCCCCGGCAGCTCCCCTTGACCTCACTGCAGCTATGTGTGCAGGTCAAGGGGAGCTCACCGAGGAGGGTCCTCACTTCCTCCTAGGTCCACGTTGCACTGCGTTCCAACATCATAACGCAGAAGCGCGCTTTCATCCGTCCTTGATTTTAACGGTGTCTGGAAAGCTCCCGCTGGCTCCGCGAAGCTCTGTCATTAAGAAGTGAATCTCGGGCGGGGAACGAGTACATTCTCACTCATCTAAAGGATTTAAAGTTGCACCCTAAGTGACCGCTTTCTGAATTTTTTTGCTAACCTCAAACTTAGAAGTCGGTAAGCCTTTTCGGCAAACTTTTAGGTAACCATTCCCTGTACTTTGGTGCCGGCAAGTGATCACAGATGCTGATAAATATTACTGCGGTGGGAAGGAGACAAGGTTCGGCTGTGATCGTGTGCCGCCTCAACTCGATTAGAACAAAAACAAAAAGAAAAATCTGGTTCACCACATTTCATGCCCGAGGCACACTGTCCACCATCTCGAATACCTAAATGTTTTGCCGGCGTCTACTTTACTGAATGTGCTAGTAAATATCTCAGTGTTAAAAGTATTTCAAGTGGAATGATCTTCATTTTTGAGCATAAATGCTGCCCGCGTCACCCCTTCGGCCATACTTTGTTCCAACAACGAAGACCAAATTTGCACGCACACTCTCACACAGACACGCGACACGCGACACGCGACACGCTCTCAGTCACATGGGGAGCTCTAATGAAAAGTCGTGAAGGGGACGCATGATGGGCAGAGGCCGAGTGTGGACACGGAACCCCGGGAGACAGCTCGCGTCCCGACGTCCCCGGCCCTTTCTGCACTGGCACGCTGGGACGCTGCGTGACGCTTCCTGGCCTGTGACGGCCCGCTTGCCGGCCGCGGCACTGGGGGCGCGTGGAGCTGGCGGAGCTCGGCACCCCGTTCACCGGACTGAAACCTCATGTCCTCTGGCTTCCCACACGGGCCGCGCTGTCCTTCGTGACGAATGTGAGACGCGCGTCCGGCGTCCGGCCGGTGGAGGCTGAGCTGTCGCCATCGGTGGCCACTTCTCCGATCAGCAGTGTCCACTGTGCTGGGCACTCAGCAACCCCGCTGTCCCTCCTGGAGGTCGTCGCCGCGGGGAGACTGCGAGCCGGGTGCTCCTGCGGGGTCTGCTCGGTCCCCGCCAAGGGCCAGTCTGGCCCAGTCCAGGCCGGTGCTGCCCATGGCCTCTGACGACAGGCCGTCTCCACAGCCGTCTGTGCAGGGCAGACAGCGGGGGACCTCGGGGCACAGTGAGGGCCAGGCCCGTGGGGGGCCAGGTGGGGGACCTGGCCGGTCCCTCTCTGAGGCAGACCCTCCAGGCCCACGACTCCTCATAATCCAGGCCCAGACCCCTCGCTCTGCCTAGCGAGTCCCCTTATTAACCAGCGCACGATTTTCCAAATAGCCTGCTGACAGCTTTTACTGGGGAGTTCTAGGCACCTCATTCGATGCCAAAATATGCCGATCGAATTGAAATGGAAGAAAATAATGATCCACCACATTAATGTTTCTAATTGAGTTTTCTCCTTTCGGAAGTGCGCGTTTTGTGCGTACTTGCCGAGCGACGCATACGGTTTATCTATTTATTGGAGACGATGATAGAAAAGTAAGACTCTGCGTGAGAAAGGAGACAGTGGGGAAGAAAGTCAGGGGCCGGGGGGGGCTGCTGAGGACTTCGACGGCTTTCGTTCAGTTCAGATTTTCTTCTCAGGAAAGACGCCTGACAGTATCATGTAAAATCCCGCTTTCGCGATGCGACGTCTTGTTAAAGCTACTAAATTGGAAGCACAATGAAGTAACGGGCCTGTGCTGTGACCTCTCTCGTTAGGTATACGATGGAAAAGATGCTTCATCACGTCCCCTGGGGACCTTCACGAAAAGCGACCTCCTGGGCCTCACCCTAAACAGCACCTCTAACCACCTGTGGCTGGAGTTCAACACCAACGGGTCTGACACCGACCGCGGGTTCCAGCTCACCTACACCAGTAAGTAGCTGACGACCTCATCGTTGTCTTTGATTTTTTCTTTCTTCAGGATACTTCTGTTACGTAGCTGATGTCGTGCATTTTAAATATTGATTTTTTTGGCTCCTGCTGTGTTTCGGATCGCTGTCTAACGCCGTACACGGCCAACCGGGCAGTAGATTTAGAAACATCACCAGAAGCAATAGCTTGAATTTTATCTATTTAGAAGTGTTAATATTTTTATAATAAAATGGCTGAATCTGAAAATATCTTATGACACTGAGGGCTTCTGAGTTTAGAAATATCAATTGTGATGTGCGCATTGCTAAAAAGTTATGTGCATGTTACAGGAAAGATTTAGAATGAATGATGCACTTAATACTAATCGCCTTTGAGTGCCTTTTCTGTTCTATCTATTGATCACATGTATTCTACATATTATAGGTTATCTATTTCACGTGTATAATGCGTGTAACCGTGTGTCTGTGTAAGTCACACATGCACACACACACACACGCATGTGCGCATGACGAGCCCGCGCAGTAAGGCCTTTCTCGTCATCGCTTCCCTCATGAGAAAACCAAACACGGGTCGTTTGAGCATCCGTCCCGGTGCCAGGAGTATGTGCGTGGAGCCGGCATCCGGTCTGCAGCTCGCGGTTCTCGGCGGCGTCCTGTAGTGCTCCGCCGTTAATATAAATGGATATGGACGATGCTTTTTATGATGACTGTAAAACAAGGGGATAAAAGTAAAGGAGTAAAAAATTGGGCTTGGGAAAAAAAAACAAGTTCGCAATATGGTAACTGTCATTGTCAACATTTTTAGTGCCAAACACAGTAAAAAATGTAGCAATTTGGTGTGAAAAACTAATTAAAATTAAGACTTCAGTTAACTAAAACACTTAAAATATACAAGACAGTCCGATCCGTCACCAATCTGATGATTAAAAATCTTTATGACACCAAATACCATAATATAAGAAATGGAACATTTTGGATTTTTGAGCACGGAAGTATGTTAATAATCATAAAGATCGATTCCTTTATTTGACGGGTAAGCATATAAATACCTAGAAAAGATAATAATTATCCCAGATAGGTTCCTAAAAAGAAAATTAAGTGTCTAAAATCCCCTTTGGCAGGGAAACGACCATTGAAAACCTGTCTGACTTCGGGCAAAAATATAATTCAAGTGGCTACATCATGAGAAAAACCATGTTTCACTTTCATGAGTATAACCGCTTAAAAGATTCAGAAAGCACGTTCATAATATTATAATTAAAATAAAATAGTAGCAGTGGACACTCTAAAATCTGTCTATAATTATAATTTTTATTTGGGTTCCACTTCTCACTCTCAAAACGCGTTTCCGAGCGTCCGTGTAAAGCCGCCGTGCTTCGCTCGCCGGCGAGGTGTGCGCTTTCGCGGCCGCCGTCGGCTCTCGCGTTCTCTGTCAGTATGCTCGCTGCTCTGCTTTTGTGTTTCGTTTCGTGTTGTCCTGTTACTCGGATGTGTTAGAATCTTAGAGGAATACAAATACTCGGGAAGGAAAACTGTTGGAAAAGTCTTGGGCGACTGGGTCCGTTATAAGTACTGAGACCCGCGCACACCGGGCGAGACCGGCCTTGCTCTCAGCTCACCTGACAAACCATCCTCTCTCTGCGACGTCAGCAGGAGCAGAAAGTTTGGCCGAGGGGCTTCCGTCCGCCCTGGGTGCGTCTGCGAGGCCCCCGCATGCGGCGCCGAGTCTGGGGGTCGCTGGGCTCAGGGTTGCGTCCCCCAGCCCGCTGCGCAGCACACGCATCGTGCTCGGCTCCTGCTTTACGTCTCATCCCTGCCCCAGCTCTGGTTTCTCTCGCCAACGACGTCGTGACTTACGAACACTTATCCCTGCATCGTCGTGGGGGTGCGGAAGACACGCAGAAGCAAACTCACACCTGCTGGATCTGTCACTGAGGAGGAGCGGCTGAGCCGTTTCCAGAATGCTGACTTCCCTTTAATTTTCCAAATAACCGTGAAGAAGGTCCAGGTGCTCTAAAAAGCTTGCCTGGCTGGAAATCGGAGGCCGGAGGCCCCGTCGGTGGGCACGTCCACACGCCCGCTTCACGGCGGCTGCTCCCAGGCCGGCCCTCAGCCCCTGCAGATACCACAGGCTCGCTGTAGTCCCACGTGCCAGAGTTCCCAGCCCAGCTTTGGGGTAACTGTGGGAAGCAGATCTGTTTATGGGCACTTTCCAATCATATGGACTTTTTTATATATAAATAGCAGCACAGACTTTCTAAGGGAAAAAAGGAAGCTTGGGAATGGTTGAGATTTAGCTCGGAGTGTAAGCAGTTTGATAGGAGGAGTTCGTTATCTCGTCTGCCTGACCCTCCTCGCTAACACCACCACCTAGAAAAGCACAGGCAGTCCGGGATGCAAGTGTCGCTTTGGAGATTGTCCTAGAGCTGGAAGAGACTGCCAGGTGCAAACCGACATTTATATCGCAAGACTGATATGCATATTACATTACATAGAGAGCATGAGTGCTGCTGGCTATGTAATCCAAATATCAACTTCACGTTAGATTCTTAGATTTAAACACTAAATAATTAAGTTTAAGACATCCCAAGCACCCACGATGTGATTGAATACCTTAATCAAATATCCATCCTTAAAAGACGGTGTGGAAATAATGCTTACAAAATGTTTTGAACCAATTATTAAAGTTTAAGACGATGTATAGACATAACTATTTTCAAAAGACTTTTGGAATTGCCTCTTGCTAGTTAATTGCATTACTTAAGGAAACGTCCCTATTTAAATGTTTCAGATCCATAATTAATCTACACACACGAGCGGATTAGGAAATGTCAACGGAGTGTAAATATAAAGCTTAATAAACATCCCCAAGGTTTTGAGATGGGTACAAATAACACTCGTATATTCCTCGATATCCACGGTGCGCGCTCACTCCCCTCCTGAATGTGCCAGCTGTCATTCCTGGGTCTCGATAAATGCCCCCTCACTCCTCACCAAGTAGAAGCCGTGTCCACTCGGCACGGCTTGCGGAAGCTGGCACATCAGGAGTGGCACGGTGGGGGCCCAAACCTAGGTCTTCTCGCGAAGCCCGGAGCTGTTGGTTAAGGTGTTCAGACGATCTCTCTGACAGGGGCCGCAGAGACGCACCGATACCCCCGCGTCCGAAGGCAGCAGCAGGAAGAAAGGCCAGGCTTCTCAGGGGCTCGCGGGAACGAACGCGGTCGTGGAGGGTCGTTAGCCGTCCTGGGTTCTGTGCGGCGGCTTAGGGCACCCACACCTGGAAACGGCGACCTCCGTTCCAGACCCTGCCTTTTGTTACGTGTCTGTCCGTCCTCATCACATGGTGGCCTCTGACTCTGCGGTTGTGTCAGCTGGCAGCATCGCCCATCGGTCCTTCGAGATGGGGGACAGTGGGGTTCATGCTTTTATTCCCCTCCGTGCCTTGCCCAGATGTCTGAGCTAGGATAGAAAAGCTCCGATCAGCTCGTAGTTGTCCAAGCTGTGTTTCGGGCACCCTAAGGCCTGGCAGAGCTGCCTTGGGGCTGGGAGGCATGGGGGGGAGAGGCGTGCCCTAACACGGGAGGGGTATGGGGGAGAGGTCTCGCCCTAACACTGGCGTTTTGTTTTATTTTTCCCAGTGAGTGTAAAAGCCCTTGAGTGTCAGAGGAATTCTCATTGACAGTGGTTTACTATGTTTTCTGAAGATTTCAGCAAATATAAAGAGTTCTGAAAATAATTTAAAAATCCCATTTTGAATTCAAAGTTCTTAAAGAAATATATTGACTTTTCGAGAGCTCCGCAGGAACATCCCAGAACAGCCAGTCAGTCCTCAGGAACATGTAGCCAGGGCGTGTCAGGGAGGATTTGCATGTGAAGCAGGCTCTGGGGACCGCACGCCTCGGTCCTTCAGACGGGACGAACGAGCCCCCCACAGCTCGGCAGGGGCTCTGCGCTGCCTGAGGGCTCAGTGACAGCAGCAGGGGCTCCAGCCCCCCTCGCCGGGTCCTTCCCATCAGCCCATGGCTGTGCCCGCGTCACCGAAGCTGCAAGTCACACACAGCGCAGGAACAGAGATGACAGAAGCCAGGATCCGAGGCACAGACAAGTGGCTTAGCATCGTCCCCAGAGCACGTGTGAAACGTCGCTCAACAGAAACGTGACTCTGTCATTATATTCTCAGCTGGGAGGTCGGGGGTCTGGAGTCACAGGAGTCAGTGCAGGGCCCAGGGTCCAAGGGACCGATATGTGTGACCCTTTCGAAATGGGCAAATAAATAAACTAGAGCTTCTTGATGATGATACGTAATTCTTGCAATTGAAGATTTAGAAATATATATGTGTGTATGTACATACACATATGTACACGCAGCCCTCGCGTACTATATATAAGTTACATATTACACAGGCGCGGGCCCGCGTGACGGGGGGCACGTTGGCCGAGACCTCCGCGCTCACGAGGAAACGGCGTGAGTCTGGTGAGAAGGGCGGGCCCCACGCAGAGGGAAAGGGAAACGTGGCGGGGGGCAGGCCCGAGCGCGGAAGCCTCTGGAAGCCGGCCCGGCGTGGCCGTCGCTGAGGCGGAGCCCTTAGCGTGTGATCTGGGACGTAGAGAGGGAACTGACCGCGGTGTCCATGCCGGTCCTCGGGGCCGCCTGACTGCCAGCAGCTCTCTGCCCCCAGCCCCCGGTGACAGGAGAGGGAGGAGACAGCTCGCAGCGTTTGGGGACGCGAGGCGGGCAGAGCAGCGAGACTGGCCACGGGCCTCGCGGGCGGAAGGTCGGACCGAGCGCCACGCAGCTCCTCATAGAGACCTCAGGAGCTGGGGTGGCAGGGCGGGGTGGCAGGGTGGTGGGCCGTCTGTGGTCACAGGCCTGGGCGATAGCAGCCTGTGCTGACCCCTGACATGTCCGGCCACGCAGCCCAAGCGGCAGAGGCTCCGTCCGGTCCCCCTGGGAAACCGTGTCACGGTGAAGGGGACTTAGGCCAGTCGCTTCATGTGTGG